GCTAACAGCACCTTAAAAAGCCATTTTCTGAACTTCCCAGACTTCGGGCGGTGAGGAAGCCCCCACCTTCGAACTTCCATGGCCGGTGGTGCAAATGACTTGAGTACCTCCTCTCGGGTGTGCCAGCCTCACAGAAGTTCCCTGCCTGTCTGCTCAGACGGCGACAAAGCTTTGTGTGGTTAACCGTAAACGAGGGACACGGATTGAATCAGAGAACCGAATATTCTAGTATAACTTGCTGTATTTCCTCCTTTTATTCAAATGAGAAATTCCTGTGTCTCAGGTCAAAGCACCATCGTTGATTTGGGTTTAATCAGAAGGTTGAATAACTTTAGTATTAGGATGATCACTTGGAGTTGTACGGAGTTGTTCTTTTAATGTCTGTGTCCAGACTTGGTGTGAAAGAGGTCGTATAGTATGCATATGATTGAACTGTGGTAGATCTTGGATGCTTTGCTTACTACTTGTGGTGTTGAGGCTGTGTTGCAGGGAAAAAAAAACTGTAAGAGGGCAACGCAGTCTCTGCTGTGTGGTGCTTCATGAGTGTCCTCTTGCTTGAAGGTCAAAGCGCTGAGGTCTCCAAAACTCATCTTCAGACTTCCAATGCAAGGGTGGAGAGCAGATGTAGGATTAGAAGTCTGACTGTGTATGTGCATATACACACAGACATCTGCCTATATAGAGAACTGACAAACCATCAATGTAAGTGTGCAGCATTGCATCCCTGTTAGAGTAGCAGTGCTGAACAGCGCGGTGATGGGCACAGGTCTGCTGCTCCCGTTGCAGACTGGATATACTGGACAGGCTCAGGCAGAAGAGCTATGGCAGCCGCTAAGCAGTGTGCAGGTGTTGGGCGGTGGAAAGGAACTTTGGGAGCAGCCCTCGAATCTGACTCAAGTCTGTCCGAGTCAAATTGCAGATGCTGATTTATGTCCGTCTGCGTCAACTCGTGTGGTTCCTGGCAGAAGTGTGGGGAAGTAAACGTAGGCTAGTGGCTGTACGCGAGCATGGTGATAGTGGGGTTTCTTTTAAGGGATTTCAGATAATTTTATCAAGGTAACAAAGTAAGAAGTAAGAAATCAGACGGTCTGCACTGAATAGTCAGTCAGATGACACCTGTATTTCCTGTTGGCCTTTCAGCATGCAAAACTGGATTTTTTACATTTGAGATAAACAGAGAACTTTCCTTCCTGCTGTTTTGTGTGCCTGTATCCAGCTTTAGGACATGACCTGCAGATATGTGAGAGAGGGGACATGGGATTTGAATTGCTCTATTCACAATTAAGTATTAAATCTGTGGTTTTCATATTATCTGCCAGCTATCAGTGATCAACAAGACCATGATGAGTTGTCCACAGCCAGTATCTGGAGCCTTTATTTTTAGGTACAAATATTCATTTGCCTACATACCACTTAAAGCAAATATTGGGACTTGGTAGTGCTCTATAGCCTAAAAAAACCATGGAAATTGCCATTCTTCATAAAGAACCAGACAAGAGGTAAGAAATTGAGGTATAGGAAAAGAGATAGAATTTTAAGATATTTTTCAGGATGGATGCTCAGCATGGAAGATGCGGAGTCCCAGATTCATAGTGTCTCTGTTTCTGTGTGAGACCTAGAAAGCATGAGTCAGTTAAAGGTATTATGCTGTAGCCCATCACTTCTTGCAGAGTCAGTCTGGGGTCTGTCAAGTCCTTACTTCAAGTGCCTGTATTCTTGGAGCTTCTTCCGTTTTTCTCAGTGCTTCCCCCTGGACTGTGGAACCTAAGTTACCAGTGGCACAATGTACCTTGGCCATGTTGCAGGTGTAACAGAAGATAAGGGGTGAAGCCTTTACCATAGTTACAGTAGCCACCAAGGTTCACCAGGGCATGGAACTATTGTGGGGTCTGCTTTCGTCTACCTCAAGGCTCCCTTTACATTACAAAGGCAAAAGAAAGATTTTAATTATTTATTTAAACGCAGCTAACAATGCAACAGGAGGAGCTGTAAGGCCTCCAGAATAACTGATACTAGTTTGCGTGCTTTGCCAGTGGGGTCGTTGGGTCTTTGCTAACAGTGGAGAAGCAGTGAGACTAGGGATGCCTGGGCTGGCCTTCTTTCCTGGAACTTTTCTTTGGTTGCCAGTAACCCCTTTCTTTTCTGCTTCCTTTACAGGATTGACTTCTCTCTTTGCCCCAGCTCGCTTTCCAGTCCCTTGATAGCCCTCCACTACAGGTTCCACTTGGATCCTTCATTCTGGCCCTGCTCTCATGCAGTGTCTAATGCCAGCCTATTGTTTTTTCTTATAGCCCAATCTGACTCTCAACCTCTCTGCATTTGAGTTGGGAAGCTTGTGGCAGTTTGTGCTGGCTTTTGCCATCAGGACATGCTTTATCCAGCCTGTACATGTTTCAAGAGCAGGGATTTAATTTTTACCAAAAAGGGCATGTGTAACACAAATATGGGGGTTTGGTTTCATTTTTGTTTCCTCTTCTGCATGTGTTTTCCTAAACTTTGTACTGCAGTGTGAACACACTTTCCTGGAATTTCATAGACCTCTGCCTTTTTAAAACATTCAGTGTGTCTGTGTGCAAAGAATGCACTTAAGCCTTGTTGACCCCTCTGATTGCGTGCCACCTGCCTGGACAATGCTTGTGATTTTCCTGTGGGCACTAATGTTGAGAAGGGCTCTACCTGGCATGGCAGAGAAGGGCTGAGCACTGCACTGGATGCCCAGGAGCTGCTGCTGCTGAGGCTGCCTCATAGAAGCAGAGGGAGAATGGCTCTGTCCCAGAGCCCTGGGGCTGCTTCTGTCCCACTGCTGCCACCTTCTTTATTTTCAGGCCTGTTTATTGCACTTTCTTGCACTGTTTTATGCTTTAGAACATAGAATAATTTAGATTGGAAAAGACCTTTATGATCATTGAGTCCAACCATTAATCCAGCACTGCCAAGTTCAGTGCTAGAACATGTCACTCAGCGTCACATCTACCCGTCTTTTGAAAACCTCCAGGAATGGTGACTCCACCAGTTCCCTGGGCAGCCTGCTCCAGGGCTTGACAACCCTTTTGGTGAAGAAATTTTTTCTTAATATCTAAACTTCCCCTGGCACTACTTGAGGCCGATTCCTCTTGTTCTATCACTTGCTATGTGGGAGAAGAGACTGACCCCCACCTCACTATAACTTCCTTTCAGGTAGGTGTAGACAGTGATAAGATCTCCCCTCAGCCTCATTTTCCCCAGGCTAAAGAACCCCAGTTCCCTCAGCTGTTGCTCATAAGACATGTTCCCTATACCCTTCACCAGCTTTGCTGCCCGTCTTTGGTCAGCACCTCAATGACCTTCTTGTAGTCAGAGACCCAAAACTAAATGTAGTACTCAAGGTGTGGCCTCATCAGTGCCCGAGTATGGGGGACAATTGCTTCCCAAGGTGGGCTGGCCACACTATTTCTGATAAAAGCCAGGATGCTGCCGGCCTTCTTGGCCACCTGGGCATGCTGCTGGCTCATTTTTAGCTGGCTCTTGACCAGCACCCCTAGGTCCTTTTCTGCCAGGCAGCTTTCCAGCCACTCATCCCCCAGGCCTGTAACATTCCCTGGGGTTGTTGTGACTCAAGTGCAGGGCCTGGCACATGGGCTTGTTGAACTTCATACCATTGGCCTCAGCCCATTGATCCAGCTTGTCCAGATCCCTCTGTAGACCTTCTTTACCTTCAACCAGATCAACACTCCTGCCCAGCTTGGTGTCCTCTGCAGAGTTACTGAGAGTGCAGTCAATCCCCTCATCCAGATTGTTGATAGAGACAATAAACAGAAGTGGCCCCAATACTGAACCCTGCGGAACACCACTTGTGACCAGCCGGGTTTAAGTCCATCCACCACCACTCTGGGCCTCGCCATCCAGCCAGTTGTTTTACCCAGCGAAGAGCATGCTATTCAAGCTATAAGCTGTCTCCATAAGCAGACAGTTTCTCCAGGAGAATGGTGTGGGAAACACTGTCAAAGGCTTTACTAAAGTCCAGGTAAACACCATTCACACCCTTCCTCTCATCCGCTAAGCGGGTCATCTTGTCACAGAAGGAGATGCTAGTCAAGTAGGACCTTCCTCTCATAACCCCATGCTGACTGGGCCTGTTCACCTTTTAACTTGTTCTATTGTATGAATAGATTTGTAGGAGTAGGTCCCAAAGCAAGCAACTATGCTAAATTTGAGTTGGCTAGAATAGTGTCTGTGTAACTTCTGTGCTGTTTTGGAGCTCAGTGTTTATAACGTTCATTTTGTAATTCATTTCTGGGGCTGTGTTCCAAATGCACCGATTTCTCTATTTGGGAGAAGGTAATTGTTGATTATTGAGGTAATGATTCCAGTCATGTCCCACTGACTGCAGCTGAAAACATTCAATGTGTACTTTTGGTAAGTGTAAGGACTCTTAGAATGAGAGTGACAAGAACAGCGTGAAAATCTTACTACATAATTAAAAAGCTTTTCAGTGTCTGAAAATCTGATACTTATCAACAGAAGGGATTTCCTGGAGACAATGGCTGGACAGTGCTAAATTACAGCAGTGGTTTTGTGAATCCTGACCTCTGTATGAGAGTTGTTCCAGATTCTTTGTGCACTTTTGGTCAGTACCCTGCTATTATTTGTCAGTTTAGCCATTGATGGAGAGGAGCTGATGTTTAATGATTCACCTGCCAGTACTTTTATCAGATATGCTGGATTTTACTCTTTATCAGGGAATTGCTTTTACTGATTTTTTTTTTTAAATAAAAATAACATAGAATTTTCATGTAAGTATCTTTTTTTTAGTTTATAGTTGGGCTTCTTATCCATGTGCTGGTAGCTCTGACATTTCCTAGTTTGTCATGTTTTCTTGTGGAAATGTAATTCAACATAATGCATGTAATGGCTCTATAGTTGTGCTTTGTCTTGTCAGACAAAGAAGCAAAATATGAATTGCCAGACAGTAGTATTTTGAGGATTATGCAGTGATAAAGCTTTCTTTTTTCTAGCAGATCATGCAGCAAAAGAGCCGGTGGAGGATACAGATCCAAGAACTCTTTCCTTAAAAATGGTAGGTATTTCTGGTCTCACAGAGTTAAAATCATTATAGCTTTCCACAGTTATTTGGCACAGAAGTGAACATTCAAGAACATTAATTCAAACCGTGCATATATAAACGAGTTTGCAAATTTAAATTTGCTAACTCTGTGCAATTAAAGTGTGAACTTTAAACTGAATTGGATGCTGTGGGCTGAGCTGTCTGTGGGATAGCCTCTAGAGGCTATGACAGTAATGTTTTTTTTTTCATTTAAAATAACACCAACAAAACAATCAGGAAAGATTGGTGCTGACATTATTCTGTCTATATGGGTTGGAGGAATAAGAAAACTCACCTAAGGCTTAAAATTTCAATTGTGCCAAGTTATTATCCCTTCCTGTACCCATTCTGGCTGATGGGTTGAAGTCGTGGAAAGGTAAGACCAAACAGCAGTGCCTTACAGCAGGCGTGGGTGAAGCTGGGGAGACCAAAGAGCATGCTCTCCTGCTTGCTGGCAAACAGAGTAACGCTGTTTATGACGAGGTTTTAGTGTCTTAAGGTATTAAACATGCCAATCTTATGCTGGGACAAGGAGTATAACAGGTAAAAGTAATAGGAAATTCTGTGAAGTCTTTGAAGAGCTTTTCTTTTTATTGTTGCTATGGATTGTTTACACTGGGGAAAAGTTATGGTGCCATGTACCCTGGAGAAGCCTGTTGTCTGATGCCATTACATAAACAAACTTAAATGCATTGGTTTATTTTATGGATGGCAAGTGATCAAGCTCTGTTGCTTTACCTTGGTGTTTTCTTCTCATTTTGAAGCTTTGTGACAGGGAGCCAGCAGGAAACTGAAAATTTCAGTAGTACTTCAAATGCTGCTCTGTCACTGGGATCCATGATTGCAGTCTGTGTGCATGCATTTGTGTTAGCAGGTTTTGATACAAGATACAGACTTTGTGATTGTTTATGTAGATTGACTAAATTAGATGCTGTGTTTGGTAATGGGAGTTCTTCTAAAAGGTGAGGGAAAGTTGCTATGTCTGAGATGGATGAAAGTTTGTTTATTCTCCCCCACTCCCACAAATTAAAATGTCTTTAATCTCTTTGTATGGTTATGAGGTTTACAGCAGAAGAGAAAAATACTTTTTTGTTTCAGTACAGTAATAGTAAAAGCTTGTATCTGCTGAAAGAGCTTTTGAAGTAATTTCTGTTCTTCCTGGTATGCTTTACCTTTTATAGATTATCTTATTACTTAAATGCAAAATTTCTTTCCTAATCTCTGCTTTTTCACTAAAAAGTTATACCTTTAAAAATACATCAGCAAAGCTGCAATCTCTATTACTTTTGTGTGTGCTAATCAGTAGTGTTTGTGGCATCAGAGTTCCAACATACAAAGAGTGTTACTACGTCTGATTGTAGACAGATCAACTAGTAGCAATTTAAGAGACTCAACTATAATTAAACAGTTCTACATTCAGCACAGGTACACTTAAAATAATAACAAATATAAGTATCTCTTCTCCTTTTGTGACAGACTGAAAAATATCCTGTCCAAGACACAGGAGTACCTAAAGGTAAGTACTGTGAATTCTGTCTATTTGGGTGTTACAGATCTGTGCTGTTGTGTGCAATAGAATCACTGGTGTCATCCAACAGACTGAAATATTCTTACTTTTTCCTAGATGTTTATATTTTAAATGTAATGTCATCTTCTGTGTTTCTAAGGTCACTTTGGTGTGCGTATATATATAACTTTTGAAATTTCCTTTCAAAATTTAGTTTTGTTCTAAAAGTCAGTCTAAAACTCTCACCAGAATATCCTGGTTCTGAATCTGGAAGGAAAATACAGTGTTCAGAATAAAAATAGAGACTTGATGATAATGTTAGAAGGGGCTTTGGAGAGATTACCAGTGCCTTCAGGGTATCAGAAATACAATCCAGAAATACCTTCCAGGTCTCTTGGGTCTGATTGCATTCTCAGCCCTACAGCAAATTAACTTCATGCCACCTTTTACCTTCAGCAGGTATTAATACCATCTACTTGGGAACCTAATACAGGTTTACTCTACACAAGTTGCTGCCTTTCCTTTCTGAAAGTAGTGTGAAGGAGTACGGGTTCTGCATTGCACTGAAGTCAAATACTTTGATTACACAAACCTTTATGGTTTCCTTGACATGTGGGGTAGTTTTTTTGTCATACCAGGCTTCACTGTTGGCTTTTGTCCAGGGAATGCACTGGCAGAGGCTCAGCTGAGAAGCACTCTGCAGGTAGGGTGTTCTCCATCCTGTGTTGCACAGCAGGTCTGCAGCAGGGACAGACACAGGAAAGCATGCAGAAGCTAGTCACAATGGAAAATTTTGCTGAAAAACATAAGCAATATACCACTGAGGTTAAAGTAAGGTTAGAGACTATTTTGGGGACCTGAGGGGGCCAGCCAGGGGAAGTCAGCATCTTCTCAGAAGTGCTGCTCAATAGGCAAGGGAAATGTTGTGGGGTGAAAACTATTTGGAAGCATAAACTAGTTTGTTTATTTGCAGGCAGATGATTTGTTCCTTCAAAATTGTTTACTAACACTAAAGCAATTTCTCTGTAACATTATTTTCCATGTCCTGTTTTTTATTTCACCTGTGACATTAGGTCCTCATCAAAATTAATTTAGATAAATTCCTAAATTTCTAATTTGTCAAAGTAGTTTGAACACTGAGAGAGCATGTTTTAAATCTATATCATTTAAAAAGGAGAGATGAGAGGAAATAGAAATTTCAGCACTTGCTATAGGAAGGTAGTGAACTAGGTCTTTGATTTTTTTTTTTTTTTTTTTAAGTTTTCGTTTCCACTTCCTTTTGCGGGTGTAAAAAGACATAAGTACTAATATACCTTGACATTTCCCCTTTGGAGCTGAAAGTGATACAAATATCTCTTAATAGTCACATTTGTGTGATGGTTTTTTTCTTTTCCTGAGAGTGATTTTTCATAACTATTTTTATAAAAATACAGACTTAGAAATCTGAATCTGTGAGCTAAAATGTGTTACAAATGTGCAGGTCTGATTTTGTGTAACACAGAGTTACGTTTGCTGTAGATTTAGCGTTTGATTAGATAGTACATTGGACTGGCAGGAGTGGGGGGGGGCTTTTCTGTGGCTTTTATAGGTCAGTTAATTAATGGACCATTTAAGGGCCGTAACTTATTAAAGATCTTAGCACCCTCTACTGATTAGGAGTTAAAGGTGAGTTTTCATCTTGCATGAATAAGTTTAATGTTTACATCATGTTTTGGTTATAATTTTACCTACATTCAAGTATAACAAACGTTGCATATGAAGTGGAATTTTGATGCTCATACTCTGCATTTTCAGCCAGGCTTTTAATTTAATGAATTCATTTATTGTTGTCTCTCAACCTACAGTCATAAAGACTAAAGATGATCCCTATTAAACCTTTACCCTGCTGGGGATGGAATACTATTTGGCTTTAAGTTTCAACAGTCTTATGGAAACAGAAAAAGAGGATTTTTTTTTTTTTTTATTGCAAATGTAAGGATGAATTCTTTGATTCATATCAATTTCTTGATTAAGATAAGGAAATACATCATCTTTCTGTTATCTGACAGGTGGTGAAGATAATAGCTGTTCTTTAATGAGATCTTACCACTAAACAAACAGCAAATGGAAATGTACCAGCACTGCAAACATAGTTACCACCATGGAAAGTTCTTGTGGGTAGAAACACGTAGAAGATAGCCTCTTTTAAACCATGCTCTGCATGATTGTTTCAGTCTCTGTTGATTTAATATTTTTGGCTTTTAATCTATCATTTCCCAGTGACTGACCATGATACGGTGTTAAATTTTGTATGCTATACACCTATAATTTATGTTGGATAGTCTTGCTATTTAAATTTGTATTCCTGTGGAAGACTAATGTTTCATAGTCTTTGTCTTAGATGAGGAATACCTAACAGATCAAGTGACACTGGAAATTGCTTCTGTGAACATCAAGACCCTGACATCAGATTCAGGCCTAATCCAACAGGTAAGAAAAATTATACATGAATGTGAACTAAGTTATTGCTGTTGATTAAATAAGTATGCTAACAAATAAATAAATGTATTTTCAGACTGTATCTGGAGAGCATGGAATTACTTAGTAAAACACACCAGAAACAGGTTCTCTTTTCAAGAGTTCAATGAAGAGAGCTTTTGTTGAGAAGTGCAAAAGAAAGGTTATTTAATCTTTGGCATGTACTTTGTAGCTTAAATAGGTTTTGATTAGCGTGTAGGCGCTCTGAAGAAGAGTTAACAAAGAGTTAAGGCTTTGTCATGCATGTTGTCCCTCTTTCCAGCTGCAAATAGGGCCAGGGCAGAGAATAAGTGAAGGAATAAGGAATGCTAGGGTTTGGACTTCTTGTGTTTTGCCCTTAGGGAGACAAGTGTTTAGACTTCGGGACACTGCTCTCCTCGCAGTGGTAACACTCTCCACTGTTCACGCAGACTTAGGTTACCGTAGTGGCCAATGCTGAGTAACCCACCATGCTCACCATCTTTCAAGTGAATGTTATTTGCTGAATTTCAAATTGATTCTCTTTGGGGTGATGTAATGGTTTGAAACCTGCTGCCCCTGGTGGGTGGAGATCTGAAACCCTAAACCAGGTACAAGCCTGAATGAAAGGGGCATACACCTGTCCTATTCCCACTCCCCTTTTTCCTGTCTTCGGGACTTCCTGCCAAGGTCTATAAAAAGGGGAGAAAGGCACGCCTCCTCCTTCTCTCTTCCTCTTCTTCCTCTTGCTCCTTTGACCTTGCACCTGGGCACACGCTGCTCTGCTGCTCCCTGTGCTACACGTGGCCGTGGCCATCTTGGAGACCTGGGCCTGATCTGCAGACTCTTCCCTGCCTCCATCCACGTCCAAGGATTGTGCATCCAGCTTCAATCCATCTCAATCCAGCGAGATCCAGCACCGGGGAGCCTCAGCATAGCATTTGGGTTTTGTATATTTGGAAGTTTAATCTTCCTTGCCTTGTTGTTCCTACAACCCCCCTTTTCTGTTAAACCCCTACCCTTCCTCCTTTCTGTACCCTGTTAAACCCCTTCCCTTCTTCCTTTCTGTTCCCTGTTAAATAATATATTTCATTTTGTTAATTTTCAATTCGGTGCAAGGTTTTCATTACCCCTGCCTTCCTTATTTATCTCTCTATTTGCGGAAACTGAGGGATAAGGGAGCTGGGACACAGTTCTGCCTTCTAACCGGGACAGAACAGGTGAGCAGAAAACCTGGAGAAGAGAAATGAATTTTCTAGTTAGATGAAGAATTAAAGGAGAGTTCCTTCTGCCAGTGTCCCAGTTGAATTTCATCAGAAACAAACAGGTGTTTGATGTGCCTTTCACAGGTGATGGAGGTAACAGTCTCATTCCCATCATCAGGAAGAGAGCATTCATTGCCACCTTAGAATAACCAGGTTGTTAATGGTTCCACGGAGCTGGAATACTTTCTGCTTATCTTCAGACTGTGCAGAGGTTTATGGCTTTGATTAGACCTGTAGAAGTAGATTTGATTTTAGTTGTGGGCAAAAAAATATTCTTGCTTAATGCATTCGTTTCATGGGCAGTGATGCTACATTATTTTATTGCAATTATATTACAAGCAAATAATCTTCACTAAATCTGAGTGCACCTGACTTGATCAAAGTGGATAATAACTGATCAGTAAAAATAGGAGTTTTGAAAACAGATGTATGGTACGGTTAAGTATTCCTGGTTTTCTTTTTACTTTTTGCAGTACTAGCTGCTCTTGTTATATTCTTGTCTTGTGATAAAAAAAAATAATGAGAACTCTTAAAGGCATTTAGCTATCAGCTTTCACAATATGATTTGAACTTTCATGAATTCATAAAGCTTGGTAAATGTTACTGAAGCTCAGAACAGCAACTTAGCTACTGCAAACTAAGTGAACAGTATCCACTTTTCCTTTTTTTTTTTTTTTTTTTTCTCCCCCCCTCTTTTGTTTTTATTTGCTTGTTTGTTTCTTTTGCAACAGATCTCTGAGGAGGCTGACCTGTGATGGGCAGTCCTTCTGGGGATTTGCTCCTCAGGGCTGGGTAGTAATGTTCTACCTTTTTAAGGAGTTTGTGGGAATGGAGACAATGACTACCATCAGGATCTCCAGTTCCAGAAAAATTTAAGTTTTCTTAAACTTTGGGTGCTTACATGTTGCCATGAAGGCCAAGTTCATGTTTAGAAAGCTCTGTCTAGAGAAAGCTTATGTGGTGCCAGTGGAAAAGTAAACCACTAGCAGATATCAAGGATCATTCTGTTGCAAGTAGCATGTGCAGAAACAGATCTTGAGCAGAGGGCAGACATTTTGTGGAGCGAATGTAGGTTGTGTGTGTGATCTTGCAGTTTTCATGGAATAAAGAAATGTTGAAAACAGCATGCAAATTTTCCTTTCCTAACAAAATCTTTAAATATTTTGGAGATAGTTTACCTTCTTTATAATTGGACTGGGAATGTATGCATGTTTGCCACATCAGCTGAAACTTGCCTATATTCTACTTTTAGAGGATTTCTTAGTAAAGAAGGTGTAGCAGGTAGGAATAGACTATCTTGTTACACTATATTCTTACCCAGTTGACTTGTGTTTGCATGCAAAGCCTGGAAAATGTTAAGAAACCTGCTGTGATAGTTTTGGAAGAATAACACAATATAAAAAATCAACAATACTTTATTGCAGCTATGTAAAGGGAAAATCCCCTTGTGCTTTAATCTTTAAATCCTCAACAGAAGAAAGCTATTTCACCTGGGTCCACACCTGTGTAGAGTAAGGGCAGCTGCAGTTTCCCTGCAGTCCTAGGATCAAGGTGCACTCCTTCAGTTTTTAGATGTCACTCTCTAAATAGTAGAATTGAAATGTTACAATCCATGTTGCAGTCTTAAGCTGCTAAGTAATTTCATTATGCTTAATGAGCAGTCAAAAAGCCACAGAGGGCATGTTTACTTCAAAACAGGAGGAGGGTTAGACATGAGAAAGCAGATATGTTTGAGTCCACCTGTTGTCTAGAAAACCTTCCTATGTATGTAATTAGGGTTGATTTTTTTTACAGCCAAAATTCTTGGGTTTTATCATTACAAAGCATTTAAAAAAATCTTTTTAATCAAACCATATGAATTGTTGAACATCTGTTGGGGTTTAAGAAAAAATTATTCAAAAGATGTAACACCATAGCCTATCATTAATAAAGATTACATTGTTCAGTGGATACAACCAACAGGTCAGTTTTGTGAGCCAAAGCATGGAAATGCTGCCTGAAAAGACTACAGATTGTCAGTAATTTGTCAAAACCAGATATATTCCCAGCCTGACATTATAAGTAGCTCAGGATTCTTCTAAGCAATCTCCTGCCACTTGTAAATTAGCCAAATAGTTATTCTGGTGTTCAAATACATTGTTTTGTTGTGATTTATATTTGTTTTCTGCTTTGTAGCCAGAAGACAAAGACACACAAAACCATACTGATGAATCACTTTCAGGTAATATGTCAGCTTTATTCCTAGATTTTATTTGAATGTACTGTATTTAAAAATGCTGGGTTTTATAACCAAGAACTCCCTGGGTAATTGATGCTTGTGGAGCTCACTTCATTTACAGCTTCCTCTTTGTTCTCAGGGGGTGGTAATCGATAATGCAGATCATACAAAAATGTGTAAGCTGGGCTTTCCAAATACCTTTAGTACATCCACCGTTGGAATAAATCTGTAAACAGCCATCAGGAGAGAATGGAAGCTGGCAGTAGACTGTGGGGGCTTATCCCACAATTGTATGAGCTCTTGCTGGGGGTGGGGGTTGTGTGGATGATATGCAGCCATGTTAATCTAGCAGCAAACAACTGAGAATTTCCTGTTAGTAAAGAAGCTTGTCCTATCATGTAGCATTAGGACCATGTGATTAGGTGCGTAGGTCATCATTTACTCATCAGTATCTTAATACAGGGCAGAGAAGCAAGATTCTTTATAATGCTTTTGATAGTCTGTACATGGTATAGCACAAGAAGCAGGTTGGTTTAGTTTTGTTTACCTATAACTGTGCCCTGTGCTTTCTTTATACTTTCTTCCCTGCTTCTATTGGAGCATAACACTAATTCTGGCATCCTTGCAAAGCAAAATAAGATGAAATTCAGATAGGGTGCTCTCCTGCCTTTTGAGCGCAGCTAGACCTTTGATTGCATTATATTCCTTTTGCCTTGTTTGTGTAACTAAATCTGAGTATGAGCGAAGGAAGAAGATTTTGTCTCACTTTGGCAAAAGTTCAGGGTGCACAAGAAGAGCAGAATCGTTAACTAACCTATTTCTGTAGAGGATGGCTGCAAGGTCTTTGGAATACCTGTGAGCAAAGATGTCACCAGAACATGTTTCCCCTTAATAACTTCAATGTTTATATTCCCTGTTAAGTATGAACTTATGTGTCTGCAGCAGTGCTGTTGCTGCACGTCCTAACTTGTTGAAAACTTCACAAGTTGTCTTTGGCCTGCTAAAAAAGCAAACTGATGAACAGTGTTAAAAAAATAGCAATAGCCTGTTCTTCCCTTAAAAACAAAACCCAAACTGCATGCAGAAGCTACATTCAGCTCACAGTTTGATGGTCTTTTGGAGTTTTCATGAAGTCTGATAATAATGACTGCAAATGGAAAAATAAAAAAACAAAACCAAACCAACCAAACAAAACCCCCATGACCTTAGCAGATGCTGTTGTCTGTATGAGTGAGTGGCACTAAATAACAGATTTGCCCTTTGCCAGAGATACAGTTCAAGTCTCTTAGACCAGCACTGATCCAGCACTTGTAAATTGTGTCACTGTTTTCTGTTGTTTTTAATCCATCTTTCTATTAATATCAGTTTTCATATTTTTAGTGTCCCTTTTTCAAAGAGTTTCATCCCACATAGGACCTGTTGCTTCCCTGTTTCAAGCTGTATGATGAGCCTAGGGGGCAGAACCTTTAGAAAGTGCTTCCAGGCCACATCCTTTATGTACTGCTCTTTGGAGAAACCAAAATCTTCAAAAAGGAGCAGTGAGTGTTAAGTAAGTTATATATGCTCAAGCAGTGCCTTACACCACTGCAATGGTAGAGGTCTGTGTATTAGTGTTTAGAAGTATGTCTAGAACTGGTTTCTACATGCTTTTATGGGTTATTAATATAAAATATAATCTGATGGCACAATGCTGGGCAGATAGTGACTGTTGTGTGTGGGAGACCTCTAAATGGCAATTTTTGGTATTCGATGTAGATTTTAGAACATATCACTGCCTCCTCCCAGCAACGTGGTATTTTTAATTTTCTCACACTTGGACGAGTGTGCATTTTATTCCTTTCCATTATGTATATTTCAAATAGGTTTGCCTGGTAGAACAGGACAGTTTTTGCTGTAAGATGCCTTACAAGGCAAAGGAACATTTCCACTTTTTCATTGTGTAAAAGTACTAGGTGTTAGCTGTGTTTGCAGCTGTCGGAAGAGATTCTCCTGGTACAAATATTTAATGTTGTTGTGAAGGCAGCAGCTCAGAAGTGAAAACCTTTTCCTTCATCCCACAACACGTGGACAAGATGCACATAATGCATAAATACTCAGTTTGGTGATGTGTATGTGTTTGTGTTTGGGTTATGGCAGGTTTGAAGAAGCAAAGTAGTTCACAAAAAACACAAACCAAAACAAAAAAGGGTACTATCCCTGCTCTCTCACAGGGTTGAATTGCATGCCTTTTATAGAGAAGTGTGAGTATGGTACTTTCAAAATTACTGTCATTTTGATTGTAGCCACAGAGCATAGTGAAGAGAGAAGTCTGAGAAAGTTAATTTCATGAGTACCTCTTAAGGAAAGGCATTACATGTCACTATTCTAACTTTTTTTCAGAAATGATTCATAGGAAGATACCTTCTCTTCAACCTTTTGTACTTTTAACTTTCTGTTCCCAGTGCAACTGCAGCTATAGATCCTAACTTCTCCCCATGTAATGGTTTTCACTGCAGATCTCAAGAAAACCTGCAAGGAAAACAGCACCTGCTCCTTGTGCTTGTTCCGTGCACCGACTATCAGTGACATGCTCAATGATGAGGACTTGTTGTACACAGTGAGGCTAAAGCTGGATCCCTGCCACCCAACAGTGAAAAACTGGAGAAATTTAGCAAGCAAGTGGGGGATGACTTATGATGAATTGTGTTTCCTTGAACAGAAGCCCCAAAGTCCCACCTTGGAGTTCTTGCTACGGAATAGTGATCGGACTGTGGAGCAGCTGATTGATCTCTGTAAATTTTACAAGAGAATTGATGTTGTGAAGGTGCTGCTGAAATGGGTGGAGGAGGAATGGCCAAAGAGAGGGAACAGAACTTACCAGAATGACTTCTAGGTCAAAGAAAGTTGTTAGTCCATAGTTTTAAATGCTGGGACTAGCTGCCACTAGTGTGTGGGAAGCTTTCCTTGCAAGAGAGAGAGCCTCTACTGACAGTTTGTGGACTGTGTAAGCCTTATGTATGGTATACACGTACGTATGTTCTGTGCCCTCAGGGTGGCAGAGATAACCTTCTGAAAATGGATGGAATAATGCAGGTTGTGCTCTTGAGTCTACAGGTGCTTTCAGTTTCTTGCTGCTGCTCATAGGCTTCCTAAGCAGCAGGGGAAGGAGAAAGCCAGGCCGCTGGTTTTAACTGCAGCAGTTGTGAACCGTGCGAGTTGTATGCGGTTGCTATTGGGAAAGCCACAATTAGAAGGCATGACCCTTGGCCCTTCTGGCAGCTCTTCCACAGTTTTATGTGTTCTACCTAGTAGAAGATGAGGTGTTCTTTTTTTTTTTTTTTTCTCATTTTTAATTTTTTATGGTTTGGATTTTTTTTTTTAAGCTTTATGACATTGGTTTTGGCACAGGCACACTCCAGTGTTCCAAGGAGCAGTGTGAATTTGCATTTTGCCATTAATTCACTGTTTCAACATCACATTCAAGCAAATTAAGCTTGAAATATCTTTTATAAAAAAGAATAAATGTTAAACAAAATAATTATTTGCACGCTTCTACATCATAAGGCACATATTTGCTATAGAAGAAATCTTGCAATTCAGAGAGCCTTCCAGCCCATAACCACTAGGGACCAAAACCACCAATTTAAGAGTTTTATACTTAAAATTACTTTCTAGAAGTTTGAAGACAATATACACTCTGAGTGCATTTATCTGTTTATCTCAAATGCCTCTTGCTTTGCAGTGTGAGGTGACAGCTAATGCCTCACCCACAGTATATCCTTAGTCTTGAGTATAACTTTCCTGTTCACAGACTGTGGTTTTCTTTACAGTCCTGTGGGTTGACCTGTTTTCTGTCTCACATGAAAGCAGTTACACACTTGGGTGAAAACAGCAGAAGTTTATGTATTGATTAAAGCCACTCTAATGGGAGATTAACAGGTGAACTCATTTTCTGTCCAGGTGGATGGCTATTAAAGCACTTATGGTAGTTTAAACTAGTGTATCTTGAAGAATTTGGATACTCTGAATTACACTGTTTACATTTTAAGTATTTTAAAAATTGGTATTTTTGCTACCATACTTCTGTGTTTTAATGTTTTTTAAAAAAATGAAAAATCAGTTATACAATATGATATATAAAGTACTTAAGCTATAATGCCACACACAAAAATGTTGTGACTTAAAAATACTTCTAGTTGTTACCCTTACTACAATCATCTCAGGCAATACTAATATGTACATAAGTGTATATACCAAAGCACTGGTGAACAGTATGACAAGATGTGGGGCAAAACTAGACTAGGGTAAAGGTTGATGCACTGTTTACTTTTCTCAAGTAGAAATTACTAAGAATTAGTAGCAAAGCTGAGGGAAGTCTAATGCTGTATACTGATTTTCTTACTGTAAGAGAATGAAAAGGGACCTCTAGTTTATACCATAGTATAGCTACTGAGTGATATGGTTACAGAAGAGCTGGAAGTACAGGCTAACATTTTCAATGTCAGGCACTAGTTTTGGGTGACATAAATTAGCTTAATTTTAGTGATTTCAAGAGGCTGAAGATCTAGTTTCAAGGTGAGAAGACTGACCTAAAACTGAAGTTTTAATTTTTCCTTTTTTTTTTAAGAGCTTGTAGAAGACTGGAATTTTTAATAACTTTTTCTTTTAACCATTCTTCAAAAAAAGCTGCTACGTTTTCTAGCCATATTTTAAAGAGGAAAATGTACTGCTGTATCTTACTGGGGCTGCAGTTCAAATATTTCATGTTCCTCTTCTAGAAACAGGGATTTTCTATTAGAAGTCTGTGAAGTCCAATGTTTGCAAATAATCTTCTGTCCTTAGTTAGGAGCTCTAGAGTCAGCTTTGAGGACTACTGTTGTGACTGAGCTGTCTGCTATTTTCAATTCCTACAGGGACACCCACTCTGTATGTGTGAATAGCAATGCAGCTTGTCCAACATAATCCCCATACCCTGGGCCTACTACATGCATGATTTAGGATCATGTGTCTGTGTGCTAAGATGTACTTCTGAGTGATGAGTGTTGGCATGTATGCCAACAGCATTTTTTTCCCTTAACATACCACAGCTAGATATGTATGGTATTCTTTAATGCTCTGCTTTGTTATATCCAGTCCAGCAGAGAGCTGAAGCCCAAGATTCACAATGGGAATATGAAATGATGGAGCAGTATTTCTGAATCAAGGTGTTCAACTGAAATCTACTCCTTTGCCTGTTTTCTGGCTAAAACTTGTCAAATTTTGAAGAAACACTGTTGTCCCGAGGAAATGAGTTTTCATCCCTTGAAGCTCTTGAAAAGTCAGTGTCAGCTGCAAGGATTCATGTCTGATGGAAATAAAGCTGTTTCTGAGAGTTTGTAGGTGGATTCTGTATAAATTCAGCACTGAAGATTGAAAATGTTAGCCTTAAACTTCAGCACACACTGGATTACTCATTAGTATACTTGAAATATTTTTTCCTCTTTGTATGGCATGAACTGAGATGTACACACTTTTTAAAGTTTTATATCTGTTTACAAGATAGTGGGCCTAAGTGTTCAGTTTATTCTTCTATCTTCTGTTCTAATGTATACTATTTTTAGAAGAAATATAGATTGTCAATGTTTGACTTTATTGTATTTGTTTTTATTACAGCTAGGAAAAGAGCTTTTCCTTCTCACCAGTCACCTTGGAACCACTGAACTATCAACTACTTGTGCTGTGTAAAAAAAAAAAAAAAAAAAAAAAAAAAAAAAAGCCCAAGATTCATGGCACCTTAAAGCACCTATGTTTGCAACAGATACTGCTCTTCAAGAAAGGAAGATGAACTTTTAAAATAATTTTCCATATGAAAAATGAAAAAAGATGTTTATCTAGAAAATTGCAGTGGAGTTACTACCTTTAGAGAGTTACAAAACATACATCGGGTGAACTCTTCCTGAATTAATAACCTTATCAGACTTATTAATAAGTCTGATAATGAAGGTTAGAGAATCACTGAAAAGGCTCTGCTAGATTGTCAGGTTTGTTCCATTCTATCTTCCTCCTGTTCCCATGTGAGACGTGCTCTCCTTTCTGGGATTTCTGGTTCTTTGGCTGCCATCTCTGCACTTGCAGGATAATCAGTGGCCTTTCCCACCCACTTTAGCTTCTGTGATGTCCAAACTATTGTATTGTTTAATTCCTGCAGCTTTGTCTAAGACATTGGAAGCCTAATAACTATTCTACAACAGCAAAGGTACAGTCCTGTGCTCAAGGAGCCCCTGGTTTTGCTGTTAGGTCAATTATTGGGCATCTTCAACAGAATGGTGACAGTGTGCAGATACCTCACTTGCTGCATGCGCTTCCCTTTTGATCTGTGGAGAGAGAGGAATGCAAGAGGAGTTTGGGGCTGTCCTTTGAAAGCTTACCATAAAGGAAAGAGTAGTCAGCATGTCCCCAGGTGCTTGCTTGGAAGCAAGTTGTACAGAAACTGTAAATCATACTCCTTCCTGAATCATTACTGAATGATGGAGAGCTGCAGCACTTTGTGCAAGAGGCTGCATATTGTTCACTGGCTCAAACTGACTCCCACCCACAGTTCCAAGTCAAGCTGTTAGCAAGTGGGGAAAAAAAAAGTAAATTCTGCCTTACGGTGGTTTAGGTTAGGGTAGCACTGTTAACTTGTGGCCTGACATAGTTGGAAATTATTTGTCAGATGGCAAAATTGTTTAAATAAGGTCAGAGAAAGTGCATGGCACTTAGAATAATTTAAAGAGCAGCCCAATTCTGTAATTTTTGCAGCATATTAAGTTCTTTTGTCCATGAAGGAAAAGCAATAGTTATTCATAACTAATATTGTTATATCTTATAAGTCTTGAATTTTTGGTCGGTTTTGGACAGTAGGGCAATGCAGTATTTAATAGGGACTTGGGCTTGTGGCCTGTTGTGACAGAAAAGTGTTTTGTCTGGCCTCTGAGCTCAGCGAGTCCAGATTGCACGGCTATGGTCAGTTGCTGGCCTTAGCTGGGTAGGGAAGATCTCGATCCACTGGCTGAATACAAGTAGCACAAAGAAGAATTTATTTAAAAAGGTGGAGTCAGTAGTATTTGTTTGCCTGTACCTTGGCCAAGAACTGGGGCTGACTCCATCTTACAAGAAACTGATGGCAAAGAGGAATTGACAGACTTGGGAAAGGTTTGTCCGTACCCTCTGTTTGGGGTCCGAGGCGGGCAATTAAACAGCTGGGCAGACTTGTTGGCTTGATCTCTTTATTTTACCTTTGTAAAATGGTGATTCCTGATTTCAAAGGCAATTCATTGGGGTAAATGTGTGTTTGCTACTTTGATAATAAGTCACATGAAAATCTCAAATGTGAGAAAGATCGAGCCGTGCAAGTCTTGTTAGGATAGGATCTGCAAGGCTGGTTCTGGCTTTCTCAAACTGTCATGAAAGGGTATGGGTGAATTGGATTTGTTCAGGCTTTGTTTACTGGCCTTCACAGTGCTACGAAGATAAGGATCAAAATTGGAGAGGAGATGAGAAGTCGCTTCTGTCAGAAATCATTGGTGAGAAGTAATATTTATGGTGTTAACTTTTTTTTCCTCTGATAAATGAACACAAATAGTTTCCTTGACTGAAAATCTTATTTACAGCTGCATCTTTCAACTTCTTTTTTGAGAAAATTCCAGAAACAAGGCCAAATGTGTTAGTAACTTGGATAATAAATGTGTTCTGTGTAGAGCATGATAGATATGCAACTTTATGTATCCACAAAAAGGTATTTTTTGTCATTGTGAGTTTGCCTCAAAATTACCAGAATTTTAGTTTGGGAATGCTTTTTGTCTTCAAAAGTAACCAAAGTTTCATGTTACTGATGACACAAAACAGATTTATGCAACCGAAAAGTTTCTTTATGGGAAGAGCCAAGATAAGAATAAGAAAGGGACACCCAAATCCTTACAGTAGTAATAATTTCTGGAGTCTAAGCAGAGGATTTGTTTTCATGTTTGTGCCCAATATACTTGAGCTTACTCCACTCCTCTCAAGCTTCAGTTTATTCACAATCTTATAAACAGTTTATCAGACTTTTTTTTTTGTTCTCATTTACTTTTGTCTCTCTGTGAAGTGGAAGAGTTCAGAACTCGAAGGTCTATAAAAAGCCTATTCCCTTCTAACCATCAGAAAACACCTACCATCTCGTGGTGAGAGGTGATACTACAGCCTTTTCATTTCTCCCTTGAAAATGCAGCAACGCCGAGGGCAAGTGAGACCATCTATAACTGCAGATGCCCACCAGTGAGATCCAAAGGCAACTGCAATGTGTATGATGGTGTAGCT